TATGAGCAAGACCATAACCTTTCCTTTGAATCAGGGAGCAGAGCACTACTCGTCCTTCTAGCTGGAGCTGCTAGTGCTTATGTCTCAGGGAATGAAGAAAATAAAAGTCACTGGCAGTAAGAGAGATGCAAATCAAAACCACAATGAGAGGTTACAGAGGTTATTTCCAGTAGTTAGGGAAGGGGCTGGTGGCCTTTGGGCTATCTTGTTGGGAGGGGAATTATGGCATCTCAGCCATGGTCTAGGGGTCACTGTTGAGTCCACAGCCCATAGAAACCTCTTATCCACCGCTAAGCCTCCAGCACATTCTAGCAATAGTAGCTGCTGCCATAACATTATACAAAGCCTTTGCCCAGTTTTCTGCACCATCCACATTTGTCCTAATCAGAGGGGGCCACTTCCAACAAATCATCTTTATTCTTGTCTGGATTTCTTCACTGTTGGGATGGACTGGAGTCTGCACTGGCTCAGATAACAGCCTGGCAGCCAGCAAGAGCTGAGTTGTGTTTGGAGATCACGGGCTAATTCCATTTTCTTAAACAGTTCAAATTTCTCAGGGACTAAGGCATAAATTGTCCCTGAATTCTGAGAGTTGTAGCAGGCAGGAGGAAATTCTTAATTCCTGCTTCTCCCCAACTCTTTTCCCATATTTTTTCTCTTCTCCCTTTTGTGTCACCTTTTAGAACTCTTATCTGCTCTCAGGCTGAAACCTAGCATCATCTCTGGTTTCCCATTCCCATTGTTCCTGTGGTGCTGATGGCTGATAATGATGTAGTTTCCATCCATCAATAAAGCCCGAAGTTGGGAAGGGGGCATGATAAGGTACCATCTCACCCCACTAGCAGTGGCAAAGTTTAAGAGGACAATAAGCAATAAATAGTAGAGAGGATATGGAGAGATTGGAATTCTCTCTCATACACTGTTAGTGAGATTGTAAAATGGTATAACCACTCTGGAAGGCAGTTTAAGGTTTCCTCAAAAAGCTCAATGTAGAATTTCCACATGGCCAGCTATTCCACTACTAGAAATAGAGTGAAATAGAAAATAGAACCAAGGAAAATAGAATTGAGACACAAAGGGAGATTTGTCCATCTATGTTCATAGCAGCATTATTCACAATAGCAAGAAAAAGGAAACAATCCAAATGTCCATCGATGAAAGAATGGATTGAGAAATTTTGGTATATTCACATGATGGAATACTATGCAGCATTCCAGAATGATGATTTTGAAGAATACAATATAAACATAAGAAAGGCTGAAAAGCATTATGCTGAGGGAACTAACTCAGTTTCTGAAGGACAAATATGGCATAAGACCATTTTTTGTAAATTAAGAATAGCTAGTAGTTGTGTCCAAAAGTCCAAAGGGGAAAAGGGTAGAGGAAGGGGAGTTAAGAGGTGGGGATCATGAGACTGCAAAGTATGGTGGGTGGAGTGAGGGGGTAAAGGTATTAGGAAAGATCCAATGGGAATCTGAAAAGACATAGTAGTAGTAGGCATACATAGATCAATGATAATTAATTTTAGAAAGCACAGTGTGTGGAAATGATTGTATGAAGCACAACGTATACAAAGGAATGCATAAAATATAATGTACTGCCAAGAAAACAAACAGATTCATCCTGGAGAGGGTTAAACCAGGCTGCTCCTTAGAGGCAAGGATTCTGAGGCTTCATCTGACATACTTTGGACATGTTTTAAGGAGGGAGAGGTCCTTGGAGAGGGACATCATGCTTGGGAGGGTGGAGGGACAGCGCAGGAGGGGAAGACCCTCTATGAGGTGGATTGATTCAGTGACTGGGGTAATCGGGATGGGTGTGTCAGGGGCAGTGAGATTGGCACAAGATAGACCAGGGTTTAGGTCTGTTGTACATAGGGTCGCTATGAGTCGCAAGCGACTTGACGGTACATAACAACAACAACAAAATATAATGTATATGAATTTTGCATGCAAATAAATATAAAATAAAAATAAATTTTAAAAATAGACAATTTGCTTTCTTTTCTAATGCCTTTTATATCAACACATTCATTGCCCTGAGTTGTAACCAATTCATAGTTGACCCTCCTGCAGGTTTTCAGAGGCTGTAAATAGCACTGGAGTAGATTGCCCATTGTTCTCCTCTAGAGAACTTGTAGATTCTAACCACTTGTTTTTGGATTGGCACCCACTAGGTCACAAGAACCAAATATTTTACTATAAATCCTAGCCTTTGTGTCAGATCAAAAAAGAGATTGCAATTCATCCTACCTTGTGATTTGACCATGTTCATAAAACTTAATTCAGAAATACCAGGGTCAAAGAAATAGCTTTGACTGAAAAGTCAGAAGTGAGTTTTTGTTGACAGTACCCATTTCCTCAAATCCTATACCCAACTAGCCCTCTAACTGTATGAAAAAAAAATAGTATACTTTATCTAATATGAGAAATATAAGTTATAACTGTGTACATAAACATTTTAGTGCATTTGTTTACAAATATCTGTTTATAAGTGTCTGAGTTTTATGCATAACTGTGTGTTTATAACCTTTGCGATTGCAGTGCAGCTTCTTACCACTAGGCCACCAGAGCTCCCTAAATAGATATTTGGAAACATACATGTATTATTGCACTTTTACAAATAATGCATATTATGCTTTTTTTGCTAATTTCACTGATCTCCTATATTCTATGTATTCATTGTTGTATCACAACTAATAACATATATTTACATCCTGGCCTTGGTACCAACACTTCAGAAAGGCTAAAAAACACTCTTAATTCCCAAACAAACAAGACAAAAAGCTTGCAAAATCTGGTGTAATCACCTAGAAATTAAGGTGCTACTTCTTCTGTTAACTGCTTCTCTATATAGGGAGTTCTGACTGCTCATTGAGTAAGGAATTGGACTGTCAACCCAAAGGCAGGCAGTTTGAATCTACCAGCAACTCTGGAGAGAAAGACAATCTCATTACATGTGATTTATAGCCTCTTATAATTCACTCGGGAGTTCCTTATAAGTCACTTTAAATGACAACAGTGAAGGTTTGTTGATGTTGATGTTGTTAAATTCATCTATTTACAAGGGTAGAATGGATTATGGAAGTTTTAGTTATAAGATTGCTTCCCAAAAGGTGTCCAAGAATAAATATGATATAATGAAACAATCTGTATAATTTGTATAATTCGGAGGACTGGAAATTTTACTACATTAATTCAAAACTATTGCAAAAATAAATCATAAGTGTAATTGAGGCTTTGATGCCCTGCTTTCATCAGAATCTTGTCTCTGTATATGAGTTTGTCCTTTAGAGATTGGTCTGTTCTGCTAATAATAATAATTCATGTTGTACTATTAAAATAAACACCGCTATCTCATCAATCTTTTTCAAGAGCTGTCAAGTCTATGGGACTTACATGACACTCTATGAGTGCTATTTTTCATTGGTTGTCAATGGGACAATAATCGTTACAGTTAATCTTTCAGACTCCTCACTCAATTTCATTGTGGTAGCACTGTCCAGTAGGGGGTCTAACATTGTACATCTCTATGGAAGCAAAGTGCAACATCTTTTTCGCTTGGGAGCTGCTCATGGATTTCAACTACAGGTCTTAGAGTTAACAGCCAAGTGCTTTACCCACTCAGAAGCTATGGATTCTGAGGCTCCGTCTAATTTACTTTGGACATGTAGTGAGGAGAGACCGGTCCTTAGAGAGGGGCATCATGCTTGGGAGGGTGGAGGGACGGCGCAGGAGAGGAAGGCCCTCTATGAGGTGGATTGATTCAGTGACTGGGATAATTGGGATGGGAGTGTCAGAGACAGTGTGATTGGCACAGGACAGAGCGGAGTTTAGGGCTGTTGTACATAGGATCGCTATGAGTCGCAGGCGACTCGACGGCACATAACAACAACAACAACATGTTAAATATAGTTGAGGTATGAAAGTCTTTTGGGGAGCTTTGAGGTTTTTGAAACATTACAATCTTGCCACAGGATTTTCATTACTGAAGCCTCTTTATTCTCCTGAAAGCCCCTGTCTGAGCTCTCCTTTGTGGTCATTTGTTGATTGTTGAGTCAATTCTAACTCATGAAGTGATCCATCATAGAACTATTCCACAGGGTTTTCAGGCTAGCTTTTCTAAGCCATCACCAGAGCTGTCGTCCGAGGTATCTTTGGGTGCATTAGAACCATCAACCTTGATAGGCTTAGGCTTATTATTGTTGTCATCTGCCATCATATCATTTCTACTCATGTATAACACAATGAAACCTTTCCTAATCCTGCCCATCCTCACCATCTCTGCTGTACTTTGCCCACTGTGCTCACCTCTGTGTCAGTTCATCTTGTTATACCCCTCAGAGACTTCCTGGATATTACTGTTGTTAGTCAAGTCAAGTATGACTCATGGTGATCCTGTGAACAACATCTGAACTCTGTCCTTTCCTGTGTTATCCTCACCATTTCTGACATAATCAAATCCATCTTGTATTAATCCAACTCATTGTATTAATCCATCTCATTAAGGGTCTTCCTCTCTTTCACATACCAACCACCTCTTTAGACATGATGTCCCTCTCCAAGGAATAGCTCCTCCTAACAGCATATCCAAAATGTGATGAAGCTTCTCCATTCTTGCCTCCAAGGAGAACTCTGGGCCACACTTTCTCCAAGACATACCTGTTTGTCCATGGAAAATTCAGTACTCTTCTCCAACACCACAACTCAAAGACAATAGAGATTCTTTTACAGTCATTCTTACGCATTGTTCAGCTCTCAGATGCATAGCTAGTAATGGGAAAGATCATAGCGTCCATTAGAAAAACCTTAGTCTTTAAACTGACAGCATTCCTCCTCAGCACTGGAGAATGGAAATTGCTGTATTTGCATAGCAATTTCCCATAAGATGGAGTAAAGAAGATGATAAAACACAACATTGTTTGTGATTTAGAACAACTTACAGATATATCTTAAGAACCTTTCTTTAGCTATGTATTTTTGTTTTTCTTTATTTTTCAGCTTGCTTTGACCAGATCAAGTTCTTTAGGTGACTTTTCCTGGCCTCAAAGGTAAACAGATTAATTTTTTTTTAATCTCTCACCAAGATATTTAGGCACATAGTTCCACAGATTGTTGGTAATAAATAGACTGTTGGTTATACAAGTATAGAGTTAGACATACAATGTAGATGAATGTTAACTATTTTTTAGTTGTAACACTTATTTTAATAAAAAATATGTACAAAATTTGATGTTTTGAACTTCATATATAGTTTTCTTTTTTACAGAAAGCTGATTATTGTGGAAAAACAGGATAATGGAGCATTTGGATTTGAAATTCAGGTGAATTATTTTTCAACTTTTCCAGACTTTTTAGGAAGGACGTTGCTTTATTTATCTATCTATGTTATATGCAGTATACAAACATATAGAATTGATTTTAATGTATTTTTCATTAACATACTTTATACTATTTATCAGATTCTATATCTCAGCTTTTATATCAAAGAAATATTTTGATAAAATATATACACACCTGTGTGTATAACAAAATAGTAAAAGAAAACCCCAAAGCCGCTGTTATTGAATTGGTTCCAATCCTACAGAACATAATAGAATTGCCCTATAGAGTTTATAAGCTATGGATCTTTATAAAAGCAAACTGCCAGCTACATAATTCTCTCAGGGAATGACTGGCAGATTCAAAGTGCTGACCAACTGCTGAGCTGCTAGGATCTTTATCTGTCTATCCGTCCATCCATCCATCCATCCAACCATCCATCCAGCCAGCCAGCCAGCCAGCCAGCCAGCCACCCACCCACCCATCTTTCCATCTTACTGAATGCTTGTATTCAAGTATAGTTCCTGTAATCATTTGAATATGCTAAAGAGCTAATGCTGAATGTAATGCAACATTTGTATATTTTTGTCTAGTGAAACGATTTTGTAATTATTTGTTGAAACATATGAAGATATTTGGTCTTGATTGCAAATTGCCACAGGTCAAAGGAAATATAGCAGGTTTCAATGCAATTGCCAAAGCAATTTGATTTTGTCTGCTTTTTGTTGGTCATATTTGTCAAGATGGTCAGTTAGAGCTAATAAAATATCTCAGTGCAGCAGTAATAGTTTAAGTATTACTTATTCTTTTCCATAGCACATTTACATTTCTTTTAGATGTATTTTGCATAATCATGTTCTTACACTACACATCAGATTTTAAATCTTAGCTTTGGTGTTGCTTTCAGAAAACTTTGGATGACTAAATCTGAGCCCCACAATTGGAAAGTCAGAGTTTATTTTAAGATTAGGAACAGGAAGCTGCTAAGTAAAACATGTGCTGTAAGGGAAGAAACAGAATGAAATTCAAGCCACAGTGAACATGGAGAAAACTCTAAGAGTGAAGAAGGCACCTTCTACTTCTTAAGTTTTTCTTCTATTAAATTTGGTCAAATCTAGAATTCTTCCATATGGTTTTTGAAACATTGTATTCTTATTTTAGTGACAAGAAACACTTTCTACTTTGTTGTAGAAACATTATGCTTTATGTGATTGCTTCTTTTCAAGTGAGAATTATCCCCAAGGATGTGCAGCAATTGCTACTGAAAACTGGATAAACATAGTTTCTTATTCTGCACACATGTCCCTGCATGCACACCTCCCCCAATTTAGGATATGTCACTGCTTCATTATGTTTCCCCTGCATATACTAAACATTTATTATACATAAATTAAGAGTCAAAACCATTATTAATAGACTATTGATTACAACATTATTGAACATTTGTAGCATAACAAACTAATGATTTCATCTGTGAACTGCAAATACGCGTGCATTCTCAGTGATGCAGATACCTAGTCTCTTGATATATGTTTCTCATGGTTTAGACTACTAATGAGGATCACATAGCATAATAGGAACATAGGGTTTTATACTAAGGCTCTCCTGGATTCAAATTTACTCTGTTTCTGTTTCATGAGGTTCTTAGACATTCAAATGAAATGACATATAGGACCTAATGACTTGATGCCAGAAACATGTGGCAAGTGTTCAAATAATATTTATTGGTTAAGAGAAGGGGTAATATTCTTGCTAGAGAGTGAACGGTGACCTTAAAATTATGTGTTCTAAATACTAATCCGTATACCTGTTGCTATAACATCATTTGACAATGTGTTGACTTTGTTATGTTAATGAAGCAGTATTAGTTTCGCATGTCTTTTAACTCAATCTCTTTCGAGATACAAAGAGCAGATTAATCATGTGAGTAGCACAGAGACCTCTTAAGCTTAAATGTATTAAAAAGTCAAACACATTTGCTATAGATCATTGAAATATGATGTCTTCAGTGTTCTTGTTACAGTTTGAGAACAAACAAAACAAAACAAATGATTATGCTGAATTGAAGGAATTAAAGCAGGAGCCAAAGCCTAACTTTTTCTCCTTTAGTTGGGTGACTAATGAACCGGTGAGTATTCAGGGCAGGCATACAGGAGAATGCTCAGAAATGAAGATAATTGAGTCAATTACAGTGTGTTTGAATAAATGCAGGGCAGATTGTCACTATTTGCGAAACTCTGATTTAAAATTATCATTGTTGGCATATCTCCCTGGCTGGGGGTGTACTGTTGCATACTTGTCTGTAAGGATTACTTTAGCTTGAGAGAATTATATAGGCATTTTTCTCTTTCCATATGGATGGCATTGTTTTAATCCATTACTAAATAAGAAATTCAATATATATATGCAGTAATGATATCATTAGGTGATCTCTTAGGGCTCAGAAGCTAAAATCTTGAGCCACCCTAAACTCATTTTCTTCTGAAGTTAGATATCTTTTATGAACAGAATTGGGTATGGATTGCTTTGTAGAATTAAAAAATAGATACCTAGGATTCAGTTCATAGGTAGGAAAATGCTTGCAAATCACTCTTTGCGTTTAGTCAGAGCACCTGGTAAGTGCTGGTGGTATAGCAGTCAGTGGGTAGTTGTGCTGGTAAACCCCAGGCTATGCCTCTCTGGTGATTTTAATCCACCATCCTTTCCAAGGGAGAAAGATGAAAAAATCTCCTTCCTTGAAAATTACAGTCTTTGAAACTTAACAGAGAGCCAACTATGAATTGGTTGGTATTTGATTTGAGTTATGAGGAGTACCAATTGATGCAAATTGTTTACAAAACTTGAGTCCACCCAAGAAGCATCTGGAAATAAGGGTCTGGTGATCAGCTATTGAAAACTCTATGGAGCTCATTTTACTCTGGTACACATAGGGTTGCCATGGCTTTATGTTTTTGTGTTTGTTTGTTTTTTCCCTTTTTAAAAACCACATCATTTAAAGTAACAGACACATTTTATTTTTATTTTTTGTTTTGTTTTCATAACAACTTTTACTATTTTCATTCTCACAGACTTACAGACTTCAGAATCAGAACATCTGGCCCTGGGAGATGTGCACTCTGATCTGCAAAATACAGGAGGGCAGCCCAGCCCACCACTCTGGCCTGCAAACTGGTAACTTATGACTTTACTCATGTGGTCAATCATTTTAATAGCTAACTAAAGGAAAATATTGTTAGTGAAGGTCAGAATGTGACAGTTGCTTTGAATTTCCTTAGCTCCTTTATGCTGTGAAGGCTTGGAGTGTGTTTGTTTCATTTCATTTACATCACAAACCAGGAGGGGTTATTCAAATGCTATTAACATTTTTTTTTCTCTTGGCATCTCCCAGGTGATGTCCTTGCAAATATCAATGGTGTGAGCACGGAAGGCTTCACCCACCGGCAAGTGGTTGACCTGATCAGATCATCAGGAAACCTGCTAACGTAACTATCCATCTGGGTGCTGTGGGGCGTCAGGATGTTATGATTACTTGTCACACAGGCTGAGTGAATGAATAGGCTTTTGTTTAGGGATCAGAAGAAGAGAGGCCTTGGATCACAGCTTTGCAATTGGGAATAGATGTCTTTATCCCTTTTGTTTTGTTTCTCAGTGTTTTCTCAGATATGAAAATAAATACTGTCAACATCTAAAGTTAGAGTATAGCCATAGTCAAAATATTCTTGTGAGCAGAATAAGTCTTTGTAAAAGTTTTTTTTTTTAAAGTGTGTTTTTTTAAAAAAATGTCAAATTCAACAGAGCTGACACATACTTTCTTTTGACTGTGATGGTGGCCAGTTCAATATACTTCGTTGAGATAATCTTGTGGCTAGAACAAGTTGAAAGGCTTAAGGGCTAAGGGGTTCCCCCCCACCTTTGCTGCCATAAGACAATTGTTTGTTTACTTTTTTCCCTTTTAGTGTTAAATCTGGAAGAGGAAAACAAAATATACTTACTTTCTACCCTTTTACATACATTCATGCCTATTAATATTACAATTTTATTAATGAGCCTATAGTCTCCCCAATTAGGAATTTGATTAACTGCCCATATAATTCTCACCTACAGATAAAATCTTAATATGTAATTAGAAGATAGAAGTCATTATAATTTTGTTGAGCCAATACTATGTTTTCAGCTCTGTGATGTCCTGGGGCGGCGAACCATAAAGATTCTCCTAGTGTTTTTTAACTCTAGTGGAAGGAGGTGAATAAGAAAGGCCTCTACAAATAAGTGGATTTGCTATTTCTGTTACTGATAAGTGCTATGAAGAAAATATATTATAAAATGGGAAAGACAACTGAATAAGTGGGCTACTATTTTAGCTTAGGTGTTCAAGGAGGTTCTCTCTGAAGAGGTGACATTTGAGCTGAGACCTAAATGTAGAGAATGGACTATCATATGAATACCTGGTAAGACCATTTCCAGTAAAGGGAGAGGTTGCCTGAATTCTCAAAATGAGCTTGGAACCTAGAGAAGCCAATATAATTGGAGCTTGATGGGTAAAGGGGGAGAATGTTACAGAAAGTGAAGACAGAGAGGTGACCAGGTTCCAGACCATAACCTCACTAGTCATGCCAAAAGTTTATTTAGATTTTATTTTTACTTAGAAGAATCTGGTTGATTTCTACTCATGGCAACTTCACACTAGAACTGTTCCATGAGTTTTCAGTGGCTGGTTTTTAAAGAATAGGTAGTATTTTCTTCTAAGGCACCTTGGGGTACACTCAAAACTCTGCCCTTTCTGTTAGCAACTGAGCTTGTTAACCGTTTGCCACACCCAGAGGCTCCTATTCTTATGCTATCTCATCGTTCTTCACAGACACCTTGGAAGGTTCATTGTTTTTCTATTTACAGAGGAAGTAGTTCAGGCTTGAATGAAGAGTTAGTTAAGGCTACAGAGCAAAGGATGGCAAAGGACAGAACTGGGACTTGAGCCACATACTACACCACAGCTGCTCAGTGCAAGCTGCCAACAGACAATCCCCTGGAGGCTCTTCAGTGAATGTACTTTCAAAACTTAAAAGGGCATTTTGCAAGTTTTGAAAGTTGGGTGGTGATTGTGAAGGATTAAGTTCCCTTTCCTTTGTTCCATGAGTTCAGGATAAACGATAAGAGACTGAGATTGCTCCAAAGAAATCTTGGTCTAGAAGATTGGAATCAGATAGTGGGTAAGGAAAAGTACTAGTGATTAGAATCAGAAAACAATTTCCAACTGGATAAGTGAGACGTTTCCAGGTGAGTCATCAAGGGGATTGTATTGTTGGAGAACCAAAGATCAAAAAAATGCAACAATCTGTACAAATACTGGTGTCTGTGTCTTTGCCTATACAGTTCTGCGCTTGAGCAGATGACATGAGCACTAGGACTGTCAATGATACAGCTTTGAAGAGCTTTTTCACTCTATCCCAGACAGTCAAAATCACTCTAAAAAGAAAAGTAGATATCTTCTTGGTTTGCTATCATCTCATCTCAGGCAGATGGTATTAGACGAGAAGTAAAGGGAAATTGATATCGCCATTTAATGCTATTATTTACTATGTGTGGAAAATGTCTTTGTATCTTTATAAATAGTTTTATAGCTTATTTATGAGAAAGCTTTTGAGCCAACACTTTAAAAATGCTTAGGTGTGTGATTCACAAATGGAATTTGTTCTCTTACTCAGATTGATGGCTCAGTTGTCAAAATAAAGCCTTTAACTTGAGCCCACACAACAAATCTGATCTCTCAGGATAGAACAACCTTTTTTATTTTTAGAAAAGCATTGAGAGTAGGAAGACAAGAACACTGCTAAATTGATCATTCTAGGATTAAAGTTTGTGCACCTAAAATGTTTGAGATTAAAAAAGTGGTAAGAAGGTTATGATCACTCAGTTCTAGTTCTATTTGTTCCAGTTCTATAATTAAGAATACTGACAGAAACAAAGAATACAAGTGAGCTCTGGTGGCCTAGTGGGAAGAAGCTGTGCTGCAGTCCCAAAGGCATGCAGTTCAAATCCATGAGGTGTTCTACAGATGACGAATGGGCAATCTCCTCCCATGCTATTTACTATCTCTGTAAAAACCCACTGGAGGCTCAGCTATGGGTTAGTTCTGACTGGATAGCACACAACACCATCAAGGGAGGAAAAGGAAAGTCCCTGGGTGGCACAAATGGTTATGTGCCTAATTAGGTTGTCTGCTTGAATCTGTGCAGGGGCACTGCAGAAGATGTCTACTGATTTATCTCCTAAAGGTCACAGCTTTGAACACCAATTTGAGCAACTCCACCCTGCACACCTAAAATGACTCAGAGGCAACTGACAAGGGAGGGAAGGATGTCTCCCTGCATTAAGCAGTAGTTCAACTCAAACATTTTAGTGCCCACTGTTGTCATCATTGTATCTCTCATAGATACTAGTGTTTTGAGTCTGCTTCATTGTAGATGCCCAGTAAATATTCATTGAAAGAATGAAGTGATTCAACCAGTATCGATAATAATAAATTTATGTGACTTACAAATTAGCCACAAGCTTTTCTTTCAGCTATCCTCTCAAGGAAAGTTTGTTTTGTTTTGTTTAAATTTCCTATTTCCTTTTTTCTGAATGCTATTAGAATCTTGAAATGCCATGAAAAATATAGCACTTACATATATATTTTTTTTTCGGTCTGTGCTCAATAAGGATGTTATTTGTTTAATAGAATCATTCATGCTATTCCCATTGTCTTCTTGCACCCTCCCTCACCCCTAACAGGATAGAGACTCTTAAGGGAACAATGATTCTCAGAAGAGCAGAGCTTGAAGAAAGGATGCAGGTCTTAAAGGTAATTTAATTTAGTACAATGATGTACATTTTTTATCCTTGACTGTGTGAGTGGTAGAATGAAGATCTATTTGAGGAATTGGAAAAGCCCTTGAAGAGGAAATGTGATGAGTCTAAACTGCTGAATTATCAAAAGCCATGCAATTACCTCTATCAGAATATCAAATTCGGCAACCCAGTGCAAATCACTTTCTTCCTTCGTCCTTAGGTACAGCTATGAGATCAGGAAAGTCAATAGAAAGCCATATGACTTGATAACTTTTCTTGAAGGCACCTGTGATTTCTCTTTTTTTACTTTTCTAGCAAAAAAAAAGGGTAGAGAAGAGGTCAGGAGAGAAGGAGCCACTTTTTTCACTTGTTTGTGCTGGAGTAACAGGAATTTATGCTTCTCCAGTTAATTCCTTGTGCATCCTTCCATTCTGCCTCATTCTGACCACAGAGTCTTTCTCTCTCTACTACCATGGCTGTCCTCGATTCTGCATTCCTTGGCAAACACATTATTAACTTTTAAAGGGAGCAAAAATAAAACTTTCCATCAGACCATCATGCTTAATGCAGAGAATTTAGTGAAAATTCCCTAGACTGCTTCTTTGAGGGCCTTAAAAATCTTAATTTGCTGGGCTAATGGCTCGTTACCAAGCTATGAGCTCCACACCGTCACTTATGTGGGTCAGATCTACATTTGCAGACCCTGCTGTTATTCCAGTTATATTCTGTGTTCCAGTGCTTCCCTTTGCATGGCAACAGGGTGATGAGACTGAGCAGGGTTTATGACTTACTGTTCATGTGTGTCAGAGATGAGATGGCACAGGATATGATAAAGGTTCCTATCTGTTGTTCATAGGATTGCTGTGAATCATACTCGAGTTGACAGCACCTACCAGGAACAACAGCAATATATCCTACTATGTAACTTCAGATTAGTAATAGTTACCTTGGGAAATCTGTTAGTGACCTCCTCAAAGTGCCAAGGAGCAAAGATATTTAAAAAACTAAGGTGGACTTGATCCAAGATATGACAATTTCAATTGCTTGCTGTAGATCTGAAAGATAGGAAATGAATAAGGATGACACAAGAATCTATGATTTTGAACTGTAGTGTTGAGGATAGTACTGAGTATCCCAGGGACTGCCAAAAGAACAAACACATCTATTTTCAAAGAAGTTCCTTAAAGACAAGGACAGTGAAACTCTGTCTCACATACTTTGGGCATGTTGTCAGAAGGGGCAAATTCTTAGAAAAGGACATTATGTTGGGAAAAGTAGAAGGTGAGAAATAGAGGAAGACCCTAAACAAGACAGATTGACACAGTGACTGTCCTAATTGATTTAAGCATGTCGGAGGTTGGGAGAGTGGTGCAGGGTAGGGCAAGAGTCGGATCTGTTGTCATAAGGTCACTCTGAGTCATAGCTGACTCAAAGGCATATAGCATGCCAGCTTGCTTACTTGACTTTGCTGAGACAGTACTGGTATTTATGAAAGGTCCCCCTCCATTTTTCCAAAGTGAAGATATTTATGGGCAACTGAAATAGTTTACAAATTGGGCAGCGGCATTAAGAGAATATGAACTTCCTCCTCATTTATTAGTTTTTCTAAGGAGGTATGTATTCATTTATTAATACTTAAGTTTACTAAGTACATAAACATGTATATATATAAGTGGGTCTAGCACGTGCATGCTTACATACAATGGATGAAAAAAATACTTGAAGATAACCTTTCAAAATTTTTATGTGCATTTTACTTTATGCTTAAAATGAATTTTAACTAAATTCCATTTATGTGTGAGCTTGCCTACTGACTTAGTTCTGATCCAAATTGAATCTTATTCAATTTGTTTATAAAAAAAATGCAGTCATTTCTAATAACTCTTGATATTTAGCCTAACAAGTTTTTCACTTTATTCCTGGGTTTGATTATATACATATATATTCCATAAAGATGAGTTGTTTTGATTGATAACATGTTTTGTATGTTATTGCTCTTTGCTATGTGTCATTAAGTCAGAATCTAACCATAGCTGACCCTCCAGTGGATTTTCGGAGGCAATAAATCACATGGGAGGAGATTGCCCATCTTTCTCCCACAGAGCAACTTGGATTTGAACCACATACTTCTGGGTTGGCAGGACAGCTCCTTACCACATTTTGTATCCATAACTCAATTTGAGGAGACACATGGCATTATGAAAGTAAGTTTTTATTCGTGCACTTTTAACAGATAGTATACGTATTTTGAGCATGTTACTTGGAGACGCTATTCCTTAGAAAGGGATCTTATACTTGGAAAGGTGGAGGGTCAACAAAAGAGAGAAAGACCATCAGTGAGATGGGGTTGACTACAACAGGTTCAAGTGTGTCAGAGAGGATAAGGATGGCACAGAATAAGACAGGGTTCAAATCTATTGTTCATATTGTTTTGAGTCATTCTTGACTCTACGACACCTAACAACAGCATCAGCATATTAATAGATGCTTTTACCTTTTAATAAGTCATCTTTAATGTCTTCCAGGAAAGTGTCACAATTTTATGCGTATGGTTCTTATAAGCTTTTGATAGATGTGTTTCTGTATAGCTGATTCTTTTTGATCCTTAAGAAATTGCTTTCGAAATATTATATCTCTTGTTAAGGGTTCACATAAACTGATGCTGTTGGATATCACTGAATCAAGTACAACTAATAACAACCCGTGTGAAGAAGTAGAACTACTCCATAGGATTTTCTTGGTCATTATCTTTATAAGAGTGGATCACCAAATCATTCTTGATCAGCTTCTGAGTTTAAAATCACCAAAATTTGGCTAGCAACTCCTTACATTCTTAGCCATTGTCTTCTAGGTATCCTTCAGGAGACTAATGTATAGTTACATAAAATAATTTTTCCCTGCTATCTTATTCAAATAACTTGCTGTTATATTTCGTAGTCTCTGGTAAGTTGTAGCTTATTCTGAGTTTCCTATGAAGGTGAATAATGGTATTCTTATTTAAATTCTTTTTTTTTTCTTCTTGTTTTATTACACTCTCTGGGACCTCCAGTTCAATGATGAGAACCTATAATAGCAGGCATTCTTGTTGAGCTTTTTTTTAAAAAAAATCTAGGAAGAGTTCTTCTAATTCTTCTCATTTGCAATGAACTATATTAATATACTCAATTTAAGGAAGTTCTCCTCTGTACCAACCTTCCTGGTAGTTTTTATAACACTATGTACTAAATTTTACTTTTCCTGATGTTTTTGTTAAGATGCACCTTCCTTAGGTTTAAAGTCAGTAAAGTTAATGGCTTTTAATCTTTTAATGATATTTCTTACAAAAAACCTCCCTCACATTCATAGGATAAACTGAAAATCCAGAAACCCTATTCATTCTTATTGAACCAGTTTCCACCCTTGACAACTCCACTTACAGAGAAGAAATGCTTCATAGAGTCTTCTTGGCAGTGCCCTTTACAAATATGACTTCTAGCCCTTTTTTCATGGTGCTGTTCTATCTGTTCAAATTACCAACACCTCAGTAAGTTGTTATGTGTCATAGGTTCTAACTCAGGCAACTCTTTATGACATGGGGTTGTGGGAGCAGATAGACATATATTTTCTCAGCATATATTTTCATGAAAGCTCTGGTAGGCTTGGACTATCAAATTTTCAGTGAGTATGCAAGCACTTAATCATTATGCCACTAGAGCTCCTCTATCTAGGTTGATTGTTGTTATGTGTTGTCAGTTGACTATGACTCATAGCAACTCTATGAACAGCAGCTCTGAACCCTGCTCTATCCTGAGCCAATCTCATTGTCTCTGACACATCTACCTTTATTACTGAAATTACTGTTTCAATCCCTCATATCTGGGTCTTCCTCTTCTGTACTGTCCCTCTACCCTTTCAAGCGTGATGTTCTTCTCCAAAGACCTGCTTGGCAACATATCCAAAGTATATGAGACAAAACCACAAAATCCTTGCCTCCAAGGATCAACTTGGTTTCACCTCCAGGAGAGATCTGTTTATTTTCTTGGCAGTCTATTGTATGTTCACCCTTTTCTAGTACCACTACTAAGAGACATCAATCTTCTACTGTTATCTTTGGTCATTGTCCAGCTCTCTGATGCATAGCAAGTAATTGCTTAGACCATGGCCTGGGTCAGGTGTCCCTTAGTCTCTAGACTGACATCATTGCTCTTTTAGCCCTCTGGAGAGGTCCCTGACAACAGATTTTCCTAATGCAATTAATCTTTTTATTTCTTGACTGCTAGTTTCAAGATTGTTGTTTGTGGATCCAATCAAGCTGGAATTGTTGACAATCTCAATTTCTTCTCCATCTATTATGGAGCTGCCAATTGGCCATGTGGTGAGAATCAGTTTTTTTTATGTTGTTGTTGTTGTTGTTATGCGCCATCGGGTCGCCTACGACTCATAGCGACCCTATGTACAACAGCCCTAAACTCCGCTCTGTCCTGTGCCAATTGCAATGTCTCTGACGCTCCCATCCCAATTATCCCAGTCACTGAATCAACCCACCTCATAGAGGGCCTTCCTCTCCTGCACTGTCCCTCCACCATCCCAAGCATGATGTCCCTCTCTAAGGACCGGTCTCTCCTCACAACATGTCCAAAGTATGTTAGACGGAGCCTCAGAATCCTTGCCTCCAAGGAGCCACCCGGTTTAACCCTTTCCAGGACAAATCTGTTTGTTTTCCTAGCAGTCCATGGTATTCTCAATACTCTTCTCCAGCACCACAGCTCAAAGGCATCAATTCTCCTTCTATCCTCCTTGGTCATTGTTTTTTGATGTTAGGTGCCTTCAATTCAAGTACAACTCATAGTGACATTGTGAACAATAGACTTGAACCTTGTTCTATCCTGCACCATACTCACAATCTCTGACATATTTGAGCCCATTGCAACAGTCACTGTGTAAATTTATCTGGTTGAGGGCTTTTCTCTCTTTCACCATCCCTTCACTTTCCCAAACATGATGTCCCTCTCCCAGGCACAGCCTCACCTAGCTTCATGTCTAAAGTATGAGAGACAAGGCTTTGCCATCTTTGTCTCTGAGCAGCCCTCCAGCTGTACTTTGTCCAAGATATATTTTTTGCTTTTTTTTTACAGTCTATGGGATATTCAGTACTGTTATCCAACACTGCAGTTCAAAGGCATCAATTCTTCTACCATCCTTACTCATTGTCTAGCTCTCTAATGCACTGCAGGTGATTGAGAAAACTATGGCCTGAACCAGGTACACCTAGTCTTAAAACTGACATTATTGCTCTTAAGTATTTTGGAGAGGTCTCTGACAGTGGATTTGTCCAAGGCTATCTGCTTCTTGGTTTTCTGACTGCTGGTAGCAAGGATGTTGATTCTGGACTGAAGCAAGATGAACTCATAGACAGCTTCAATCCTTTCTCCATCTATTATGATATTGACTATGGGTTCTGTGGCGAGTATCTTTTTCTTGATGTTGGGATGTAATCTCTAGATTAATAGATTGCTAACATAGATTAATCTTTAGGTTAATAGGTGAGTGTAATAATTTTTGTCACCCAGGAACTTTTGTAGGATAAATCTAACCTGGTCTGATAATAATTTTTTAAAGTCTTACATGTCTGACTTGTAAGGTCCTAGGAAACTCTGGTGGCATAGACAATATAGAGTTGCACTGCTAAACCAAAACCTATGCCTCTCTGATTGTTCAGATCTAGTAGTAGCTCTGTGGGAAAAGATGGGCAAGCTTCACCCATGTAATTTATCACCTTGGAAACCCACTTGAAGGTCAGCTATACATCTGTTCTGACTTGGTGGCAATGAGATTTTTTTTTAATAATTTCTTTAGTATTGCAATCGAAAATCTGCTGTTAGGGACCTCTCTAACGTACTGAAGAACAACGGTGTCTCTCTGGAGACTAAGGTGCATCTGGTACAGGCCATGGTCTTTGCAATCATTTGTTATGCATCAGAGAGCTGGACAATGACCAGGGAGGATAGAAGGAGAACTGATCCTTTTGAGCTTTGGTGTTGGAGAAGAGTGTCGAAGGTATAAAAGGCTGCTAAGAAAAAAAATAGATTCATCCTGGAGAGGGTTAAACTGGGTTGCTCCTTGAAGACAAGGTTTTGAGGCTTCGTCTGACATACTTTGGTCATGTAAGGAGAGACAGGTCCTTGGAGAAGGACATCATGCTTGGGAGGGTGGAGGGCAGGCGCAGGAGGGGAAGACCCTCTGGGAGGTGGATTGATTCGGTGATTGGGGCAATTGGGATGAGTGTGTTGGAGATGGTGAGATTGGCACAGGACAGAGCAGAGTTTAGAGCTGTTGTACATAGGGTCGCTATGAGTTGCAAGTGACTCGATAGCACATAATAGCAACAAAGAACAAATTTATTTAGATGTTTTGAAGGTAGCTTCGTGAGTTAGATTGACCTGGTGTTTTCCATCCTCAAGATGTTTTGTTCTAATTCTGGTACGAAGTTACTGAACTCCAAGAATGATTTTGGGAGGATCTTCCCCTTCTTGTTCTCTGGTAGAATTCTCATATTCTGAATCATCAGGTTTGGTACTTTTTTTGATGGGAAGACTTTGAAACTACTTTTTCAAATTTCTTTAGTAGGTATATAATTGTTTAGTCTTTGCGCTTTAAAAGCCAGTTTTGGTGAAATTTTTCAAATTTATTGAAATAAAGTTGGTAAGAACTGTTATTTTTTTTATTATGATGGTGATTATAAATCCATTTTTGTAATGTTATTTTTATACTTTCTCTCCCCTATCTCCTCTTTCCCCTTGCTAATCTCTCTAAATAGTTTTCTAGCTTTGAGTCTTATAAAAAGCCAGCATTCAGGCTTGCAGTGATCTAAAGAAAATTTTTTCTGGTTGCTTTTAAAAGATTCTCTCTTCACTGATCTACAATTTCACCAATATGTGATTAGGTCTGGCTGCACTTTAAAAGTTATCCTTCCAATTCACAGTGCTCTTTCAATCCAAGAAATGATAACTTTCTCATTTTTTTGAAATTATCAGCATTGACCTCTTTGAACATTGCTTCCTTGTATTAACTCTTGGAATTTCTTTCAGACATATTGTGATGTCTGTTCATGTATTTTATATGATGCCTTTAGTATTTGATGTATTTGTATTATATTCGTCTTGAGTTTTTTAGTGTTCACCAGTTACTTTCTTATTCCCTGTGTTCTGTATAGAATGTATTCTTTCTATACGGGGTCCACATTTGTTGCCTTTGGCTTGATGTAGTTGTATTATATGCATCTTGAGTTCTTTAGTGTTCACCAGTAACTTTCTCGTTCCCTGTGTTTTGTATAGAATGTATTCTTTCTATACAGGGTCCACATTTGTTGCCTTTGGCTTGATTTCGGCCTAAAGATGAGAGGAGCTGTTTCATTGTATTTTCTAGGCTGTAATTCTAGGGAAGCTTATCACTAGACCTTTCTTTTGTGATATTGCTGGGGTGTGAAGAGTCTTCTTTCAGGTGAATACAACTAACTCATTGCTGTAGAGTCAGACCTGACTCATGCTGACCCTCTTTGTTGTTGTTGTTAAGTGTTGTCAAGTTGATGATGACTCATTGCAACCCTGTGAAAAAAAAGACTTTAATCCTGTTTTATAACTAGTTTTTCAGTTTATAGAGTTTTCAGAGACATGCTGTTTGGAAGTGGATGCCACTCTTGCTTCCAAGTATGTCTTAATCTGGGAGCTCCACCAAATACTGTTACCCATGTTATGGCATTTGAGTAGTATTGAGTGGCACATCAATCCCAAGTTACTTCAGTACAGCAAATTAACAGATCAGTGCTGTAGCACTTAGGAGAATATTCATTATAAACACAAATTAATACCAACTGACCCTCTTCAAAATGTTAAAATTCTGTTTTATATTATTTTCTCTTTTGATCAGAATTTATTTATTGTGGATGTGCTAGAAATGATCTGTAATGGTAGCCAGGGAGTTCCAGTTCTTCTAGTCTCGTGGGTTCAATTAGTCCTGTAAGTAATTTATTCTCTCATTCCTGGATCTCCTTCCTCTTTTATTGCTTCCAAGAAGTTGCTATCTTCGATAGCAACTCACCAACTTTTGAGAGTCCCTGAATTATGAGGTATAACAAGAAGTCTAAAACCATATTATGCCAGTTGATCTAGTTTAGTTATTGAGCAAGAAGTGTTTGGATGTGACCTACAGTTGATGTTAGGTTGATTTGCCCTTTACATGATGGTATTTATTATGGACATCCCATATAGACATGCAAACTGTACCTTAAATGTGGGACCAATGGCTCTTCAGAAATATTGATCTCTTCTGAGCTAGGAATTTACTTAATCTTGACCTTTGACTCAAATATTTAACACGAAGACAGCCCATCTATCAGTGGAGTAGCTAAGAGAGCTAGTTTTTAACTTAGTGCTGCTATTTCCTTGCTCTTTAACACTTGGGAAATACTTTGCTACTTTCAATGGACTTTGAAAGAACCATGGGGATGTTTAGCTGTATAGCTCATTGGACTGAAAACCATTAGAAAGGCAAATGGTTGATTGTACCAGGAAGTCATCCTTTCATTCAATCAGTACTGAGAAGTTGTTATTTACTCTGTGACAGTGAGTTGATGTAACTTATTCTGATTAATTAAGCACATATGGTCAAATTATCTTTTCATGATGAGAGTTTAGACTTAACCAAAATTTATAGCTGTGATTTCAGTAATATAGTTAGAGATGGATTCTTAAGAAAACAGGGAAGTTTAAAGCTGTAAATCCCCAGCAACTGACTAAAACCTCTTGGTTCATGTTGACATATAGCTGATCTTTACACTGGTGTTTCCTTGGTCTAAGTGATGACATACTTAGATATAATTGGCCAAGTCAACAAATGTGATATTTTAAAACTTGCTTTTTCACACACACACTAACCTCCCCAACTATTTTGCAAGGCTTGCTTCTATATTTCTAGATAATAAATGCAGAAATACAAGTTCCTCTTCTCTCTATCCATAGTATTTAATGTCAGTCTAGCTTTATGCCTTCCAGTTTTACAGGAGCAAACCATTTTGAGAAAGAACAACGGAGCTAGCATATGTGGCGGCTCCTTGGTAGTTCTATACTCACTGAATCCCTTACTCTGACTTTTCACTCAATCACAAGTTTCCAGAGGTAATTTGAGTTGTGATTAAATAGTTCAACATTCTTATAGACCAGGATTCCTGGTCTCCATTTTCTCAGTTGCCCTCTCAGGGCTGGGTATAGCCCTTACAGTCACTTCATTCCCCCTCTGGCCCAATACTTCTGGGTTGGGTAGCGCAGGATGCAGACAAGAAGTCAAGGTGCTTAGCAATGTTCTAAGTTTAGCTTTCCGTAGAAGTCTCTTAGATCATGTCTGCTTTCCTTCATGTGTCTGTGGAAAATAGATGTCCCATAGTACTCCTAGGCCATGAGTTGATGAAGAAACATTTAAAATTTAGTCAACCATGTAATTCCAATGAGAATCTCAGAGTTTCGACTCTATTAATATCTTCAACCTACAGATAAGGGAAACCTGGAGTCTAGCTACTTAGCTAAACAACTAGTAAGTGGAGTTGAAAGCCAAGTAATCAATTATATTTCTTAAAATAAAAATAAAATAAGCCTACTGCTTTTGTTTAAAAAACCCAACAACTTGTTAGAGCTACTTGGTTATTTCTTGAGAAAGTATATTATTCTCAATACCTCCATTTATCTTTCAAGTTAATAGGAAGATGTAATTGCCCCATTATCCCTTCCCTTAATGACAAATATCAACACATAGAGGTAAATTGCCATCATCACTGGGGTTTCCTAATAATAAACACCTTTTTGCTTCTTCCTCATAGCAAACTTTGAAGAAAAAATGGGTGGAGTTCAGATCTCTGCAGTTACGGGAACAACGTCTGCTTCATGGTAAATGTGATTTCCTGTTTAGAAACCACAGTCCCATGTCACCCGTTCAGTATTTCTGCCTTTAAGTTGAATTGCGATAATCATCATATAAGAAAAATGTATCTAGTTCATCTGAGGAATAAGGGCCTATATTTCTTTGAAATAAGCTTTACAGCAAGAGGTGAGCCAACACTTAGCATGTGTACAAACATGTAATTTTCAGAAGTTAGTGAGGCCGGGATGGTGGTCTACTTCTGGGGGTGTTGTTGTTGTTATGTGTTAGGGGGTTGACTACAACTCCACAACGACCCTATAAACTATAGATCTGAACCCTCCCCTCTCCTGAGCCATCTAGACAATTTCTGACAGGCTCAAGTCCACTGTTAGAGTCACTGCATCAAACCATCTCATAAGGGTGGTCTTCTCTTTTGCTGACCCTCCAGCTTTCCAAATATGATATACTTTTCCAAGGACTGTCCCCTCCTAATAACATGCCCAGAGTATGTGAGATGAAGTTTCACTCTCCTTGCCTCCAGGGAGCACCCAGGCTGCCCCTTTTCCCAGATATATATTTACTTGTCCTTTTGGCAGTTCAGGGGTTATTTGGCATTCTTCTCCAACACAACAACTCAAACATGTTAGTTTTTCTTCTATAATCCTTATTCATTTTGCAATATTTAGCTGTGTAGCAAGTAATTGAAAAGATCATGGTTTGGATCAGGTGCACCTCAGTCTTCAAACTGACATTTTTCTTCAGCAGTTTGGAGAAGTTCTCAACAGCAGACTTTCCCAGTGGATAACACAAATAATCAAATTTCAGGTTGAGAGTTTACCATTTAAGTGTAAGTTCTATTTATGTAAACAACAAAGCCCACAACTACTTCACGGTCACTGAAACTGAGGCAGAAATAAGCAAGATTTTAAGAAAAGGGGTGCTCGAGTCTTGTCTTAGTGCTTATCTGAATTTAAAATATGTTGATTTGGCATTTACCGTGCGACTTGTGTAACCTTAGAAATGAACTTGCATTTACAAATAAGTCTCTGAAACCATCAGTTATGTGGGTGTGAAATATGGGTTATATCTTCTTCAGATGACACCACATTCAAATCTATATTTGTAACATAGGATGCCTGTTGAGAGAAAGAATCCATTTGTTTACAGAAACAAGTACTAAAATTTAATCCTTAATTAAATACTAATTTATGACTGAATTTAGTAGTGAAGTTCTGTTTCTTTAAAAAAAAACAGAAGTGTTTGAAATTTATGTACCAGTTACTTCTCTGTTTCATACTCTTTAAGCTAATATTTTTAAACATTTGTAATAGAACTTTTAGTGAGTCAGAGATTAAAAAAAAATCTTTGCAGTTTTCCTATTTTGTCAACCTCTGATTTCTTAAAGCAAAGGAAAGTTGGGCAAATTTTTGCCTTCACTTCTTGAGCATGTTAGAGTGAAGGTGAGGCTGAGCAGTGCTAGACTTTTATGTCAACAAATTTGTCTATATCTTTCCCTTTATTCAGGACAAAAGCATTTGAATTCTCACAAAGCTACTGTTATAGGTGTGTTTTGAGAGATTTAGAGTTCTTTAGGCTTTTTCTTCTGTTAATTTTCTTCAAATTGATTCTGACTCATATTGAACTTGGTGTGCAAAGTAGCACTACCTTCCAGAAGCAGACTGACAGGCCTTACTTCTGAGGCATCTCTTTAGGGGCTTGAATCACTAAACTTTTTACTATCCAATTATGCCCACCCAGGAAAGTATTATAACTAATTATTGTAGGACTGGTTATATTCAGGCCCACAGATAAAATGCAAAAGAAGTCACTTTTTACATTGTTGATTAAGGCAAAGTAGATCTTGGTAAAGTTTAGAGTAAAACCCTTCTGAGTGTGCAATGCTCTGTTTTGGGTTGGTTTTTGTTTTGTTTTCTTAAAGTGAAGTCACCTTCTACTTAGGTTTTCCTCAAGTCTTACAGTTTCCTTTTTTTTTTTTTTAAACCAAATACCAACCAACTCAAATGCCAGTGAAGCCGCTAGTTGGACAGGAAGTTTGGTGTGATGAAAATTTAAATTAGAAGAGCCCTGGTGTGCATGATTAAGTCTGAGGCAAAAATTCAGCCCAATGGTTAAAATTCAGTTTCCTAAAATACATTATAACTTACTTGAGGACAAGGATCTTTTTTGGTACCATCCTTTTAGAGAGCATTTAAAATATTAATGAAGCTTTGATTATTTAGTTTGAAAGATATGTTTGATTTCCTAAATCCTGTTTTTAAGCATCTGTGAATTCTTTCTAATTGGCTTACAGATGGAGGTTTTAGAACAGTATTTCCCCTACAAATCAAATGACTTTTAATAATAATTTTATTATTATTAAAAAGACAGCAGTTAACAATCAGAACTAGAGGGAGAAATCTCTAAAGTAGTATTTCCTTAACTCTATTCTTTGGAACCTCATTTCTGTGAGAGCTAATTAAAGGTTCAATGGTCACTTAATTCTGGGACATTATCCTTTTAAAGCTGCATAAACCCCATCATGTGAAGAATTTTGTTCAATTTATTTTAATCCAGCACTTCCCCCCCCCCCCTTCTTGATCCTAGAGGCCTCTTACATGGAAACCGTGTCAATGAAAAAACAATTGGGGAAAACTTACATTAAGACTGACATAGGGATTGAAGGGGGAGATTGATAAAGAGGGAATAAATAATGTATACTGCATTGAAACAGATGAGGGAGAGAACTGTTTAAAAGGGATATATAACCAGGTATTATTGTTATGACAGAAGTCCAGAATGAAGTTAGCATAGTGGAGTGGACTTGAGGGGAGGGATTGAATAACACTGAAAGAATTTTTTCTTATACTTTTCAAAGAGAAAAGCAAATGGGGGGGAGGGGCAGGGAGAAAAGAGAAAAGTGCAACCATAAATGAATGGAAATCCAAAGTCTCTGTAATCTTTCATTAAAATAAATTTAAAATAAATAATAATTAAAAAGAATTAGCAAATGGCATCAAAAACATTTACTTAACTCATGCCAATGAGAACTGAGTGGAAGAAAGGAAAGATTCTTCTTTACTTTTGCTCATACTTTATTTATTTATTTTTTTTATTTTAATGCAAGTTTACAAAGACTTTGGATTTCCATTCATTCATTGTTGCACTTTGCTCCCTGCCCCCCACCCCCCAATTCGCTCTTCTCTTTGAAAAATAAAAGAAAAAAAAATTCTTTTATTGTTATTCAATCCCTCCCCCAAGTCCACTCCACTATGCTACCTTTGTTCTGGACTCCTGTCATAACAATAATATCTGATCATATGCAGTGTACATTATTTATCCTATCTTTCTCAGTCTCCCCGCAGCCCCTCTATCAGTCCTCTTTCATAACAGTGGCACTATGCAGTATAGTCTTTTTGTGACTGAGATATTTCCTTCAGCATAATGTCCTCCAGAAGATTTTGGCCTATTTCATATCTAGAGTAATTGGATGTAAATTCTCGTGTGTTGATTTATTGGCTTACTCCACAGTGGACTCCTTTGTTTTCTGACCTCTAGGCGATGCCGCTAACTGCCCCAGTTTGGAAAACGTGGACCTAGACGAGTCAGCGTTGTGGGGAGCGCTGCCCGGGCCATGCCCAGCCCTCGGGGACCGACACCGCCTGTCCAGCCAAAGCAGCTGCACCAGCTGGCTGAGCTCCATGACCGTGGACAGCGAGGATGGCTACCAGACCTGCGTGTCCGAGGACTCGAGCCGCGGGGCCTTCAGCAGGCAGACGAGCACAGATGACGAGTGCTTTGTCCCCAAGGACGGGGACGATTTTCTGAGGAGGTCATCGTGGAGGAGAAACCGCAGTGTGAGCACGGCCAGCAGTGGGTCCATGTCTCCCTTGTGTGATGGCAACTTCGCCAGCATGTTTGGGACCCTGCCCCGGAAGAGCCGAAGGGGAAGTGTCCGCAAACAGCTTCTCAAGTTCATCCCTGGTCTTCACCGGGCAGTGGAGGAGGAAGAGAGTCGCTTTTGACCTTGCGTGGTGGTGACCTTTCCTATTATTTCACAAACAGCTCTAGACTCACTCTTCTGAAGTCAGCACCAGCCCCCTGAGTGGGAAAGTGCAGCTGGATTGAGACACTCAAATCCTGCATTACACCCCTGGTGACCTTAATTTAATTTGTATGTCTTTGTGTGTTGCTTCTTAAATATTTTCACACAGAACATTCAAGTTCTAAGCAGATATCAGGGAAATCTTCAAATAAATGATAGAATATAAAGAAATGAACAATAGTTCCTGCTCACTTTAATGTGGCTTGTGTGGGCAACATTTTTATTTATTTTTCTAGACTGTTTACAGGTCGTAACTGAAAGCCTTTCTGTGTTAATTTTAAAGTAGGTACTGAGAAAACGAACTGTTTGGATTATCTCCCATGAGTTAAATGGTTGAGTTTAGTAACCATTGAACTTAATACACAATTTTGAATATATATGCCCAACTGGCAAGATGACCATCAACCCTTTCCTATTCCTAGAGTGACACAATACAGGAGGAAATTTAAGATTTTATAAAAGTGTCTAAGCTTCATGGGAAACATAGAAAATAGTTGATGGTTTGAGACAAATGCTGATGAAGATCCCAGTCTTTTAAATTAAAAAAAAATGTTTAATATGACGTTTAGGAAGCTCTGGTGGCCTAGAGGCAAGAAGCTGCACAGCAATCCCGAAGGTGCTCGTTTTGAATCCACCAGATGCTCCTCTGGGGAAGGAGGGGCAATCTCCTCCTGTGACTTGATAGTACACAACAGGGAAAAAAAAAATATGAAGTTTAATAAAAATGGGTAAAAATCTCATTCAACTTTTGTTCTGGCTAAACACTGATGATAAACCCAGAAGACAGGAGCTTAGCCATTTCTTCAAGAGAGTGGGGGAGGGTGTGTGAGACACAAATACCTAAAGTCTGGAAAAAATTCAGGATTGAAGAATTTTCCTCCTGTAGATTTTTTTTCACAGTACCCCTCACTTTGTATTTTTACATCCCAAATAGTTATTACCTCAGCTCTCTTCCTTATTAGTTATGTTAATATTGCATTATATGTGTACTTTCAATCATGCTTTTATTTAATATCAATTAAAGTACATGGTCTTCCTGTTCTGAGGATGCAGCTGTGACTATAGCTTAGGGTAGGAAAGAAATAATTCTTAATGATTTTAAATTGTGTGTGTTACATATGTGTGTGGTTGGGGGAAGGAAATACAAATGACTTTGAGCAGGGCTGCTCTATTTAAGTAAATTTTTGAGTAATTTATGTTATTTAGAGAGCAAAAAACCCTCTAACCTCTTCTTTGTACGTGGGAGGATGATGAAGCTTGTAGAGAAACAAAACATGTAAAGTTTTGTAATTATGACTTACTTTGCATTAGATCTCTGGACTCAGAAGTGTCCACTGGGTGATGAAATGATCGAGAATCATTTGATTTCATCATTCATATGAAAGCAGCATGCTGCATTGTCTATAGGAAGCATGATAAGCATGTCTTTAATAACCCAGCCCTTATAGGGAGTTTTATGGCACAGTGGAAAAGAATTGCTCTGCCAACACAAAGGTACGTAGTTCAAATCCACTTGCTGCTCCAAGGAAAAAAGATGGGCTCTCTTCTCCCAAGAAATGTACTGCCTCTGAAAACCTGCCGGAAGGTCAGCTATGGGTCTGTTCAAACTTGATAGTACTCTCCAACAACAATAAAATAGGTTAAAGTTGCAATATTTGCTTGCCTTTTAGGAATACAGAGGAGAAAGCAGGATTTCAGTGAGCTTCTCAATGTGACAGTTTGTAGCAGAGCTGACCCTAGGAGTTTGTTCTTGGCTCTAGCTCATTCTCATAGTCTTTCTAGGTATTACCTGTCCTTTTGCTAGATACCTCCAGAGGATATGCCCCCCCCACCCCCACCCCTCGAACAGACTTAAAATATGGATAAGGATATTTTCATTAGTAATAAAACAAACACACACATATTGAGTGGCTTTTTCTCCTTACTTCCACAGGCACATTTTCATACACAGGTTTACTAATACCTGCATGATTATGGATGTGTTTTTCCAGCAAAGTTTTGAAAACTAGTTGTGACTCAACTTACTACCTACTTCTCATTGTAAACTATAATTACAAAGGTAAAAAGGAAATTTGTTAGTCTTATTTCTCTCCAAACTTTGCAATTGTGGTTGTGTTTTCTTGAGCTGGAACTGACTCATTGCTCACCCTCCAGCAGGCTTTTCAAAGCCTTAAAATCAGAAAATGTGTGCTTCAGGTTTGTTTCCTTTCTCCTTACTTATTCGGTCTGTATGCTGAGCAAATTATTCAAGAAGCTGAAGAAGAATATGGCACAAGGATTGGAAAAACACTCATCAACAACTTGTGTTATGCAGATGACACAACTTTGCTTGCTGAAATTGATGAGGATATGAAATCTTGCTGTAAAAGATCAAAGACTACAGCTTTCAATGTGGATTACATGTCAACATTAAGAAGACAAAACCCCTCTTCATTAGGCCAACAGGCAGCACCATGATAATTGGAGAGAAGACTGGAGTTGACTTTATCTTGCTGGGGTTCACAATCAACACCCTTGGTACCAGCAGTCAAGAAATCAATAGATATATTGCATGGGGTAAATCTGCTATCAAGGACCTCTCTAAGGTGTTAAAGAGCTATGATGTCAGTTTAAAGACTGAGGTACATCTGATTTAAGCCATAGTCTTTTCAATTATTTGTTATGCAACTGAATACTGGACAATGACTAAGGATGACAGAAGAATAAGTATACCTTTGAATTGTGGTGTTGGAGATGGGTACTGAATATCCCATGTTATTGTTATGTGTTGTTGAGTTACATGAAACTTGTAGTGACCCTACATACAACAGCTCTGAACCCTGCCCTATTTCGAGCCAATCTCATCATCTCTGACAGACCCAATCCCACTTCTCGAGACATTGAGTCAGTCCATCTCATCCTAAGTCTTCCTCTCCTGCACTGTCCCTTCACACTTCCAAAGATGATGTTCTTTTCCAAAGACTGGCCCCTCCTAGCCACACACCCAAATTATGTGAGATGGAGTTTCAAAATTTTTGCCTCCAGGGAGCAGCTTATTTTCATCCTCTCCTGTTAGTTTTCCTGGAAGTCCATAGTATGTTAACACTCTTCTCCAGCACCAAAACTCAAAGGCATCAATTATTTTTCTATCATCCCTAGTCATTGTCCAGCTCTCTGATGCATGACAAGTAATTGTGTAGACCATGGCCTGTGTCAGATACTTCTTAGTCTCTAGACTAACACTGTTGCTCCTTAGTACTTTTGAGAGGTCCTTGACAACAGGCTTTCCCAATGCAATTTGTCTTTTGATTTCCTGACTGCTGGTGACAAGAGTGTTTCTTGGGGAACCAAGCAAGCTAAAGTTGTTAACAATCTCCATCACTTTTCCATCTATCATAAAGCTGCCAGTTGGCCCAGTGGTGAGAATCTTTGTTTTCTTGATGTTGAGTTTCAATCCATATTGAAGACTACAGTCCTTGACCTTCTGCAGCAAGCACCTCAAGTGCTCCTCAGTTTCAGTATGCAAGGTTGTGTCATTTGCATAACTCAGATTGTTGATGAGTCTTCCTCTGATGCTAATGCCACACTCCTCCTCATAAAGTCCAGCCTCCCAAATGATTTGTTCTGCATATAGATTGAAAAAGTATTGAGATAAAATGCTTCCTAGACACACACCTTTCCTGATCCTGAATCATGCGGAGTACTGTTTCCTGGTTCAAGTATTATAGGTTTTGCATGATCACAATTAAGTGTTCTGGGATTTCTTGAGAAGATTGGCAGATTCCTTGAGAAATCAAGGTTAGCGACAATTTGTTGTGATCCACACAGTCAATGCCTTTGCATAGTCAATGAAGCACAGATAGACATTCCTCTGGTACTCTTTGCTTTTGGCCAAGATCCATCTAGATTGCCAAAAGAATAAACAAATATGTCTTGGAGTGAAAATGTGTTCCTTGGAAACAAGATTGATGAAGTTTTGTTTTACATAGTTCAGGCATGTTGTTAGGAGGTGCTAGTGGAAAAGAAGATCACATTTAGAAAGGTGAACATCAACCAAAGAGAGAAAGACCCTCAATTAAATGGGTCAACAGTGATTATACCATGATCTAAATATAGCAGAGATGATGAGGATGGCACAGGATGGGGGAAGGTTTAGATCCATTGTTCACAGGATTTCTATGTGTTGTAGTCAACTGGACAGTACCTAACAACAACAAATACCACCAAGTGTGTAGCATGAGTTCAGTTCCATTGGTGTCTATCAAGGAAGGAAATTGTGAGGAATTGCTGTTAGAAAAGAAGTTATTTGTATTTTCTTAGAAATCATAAAGGAAATTCTCATTCTCAAGTAACTAGAAGATGACCAAATATCACTGATCACTAACGGATCTGTTGCTTGTCAGTCACAGTAAAGGCCATTCGTGGAGTGGAGGCAAAGAAAAGATACAGCAAATTTCACTGTAGTCTATAATAAGAAGAGTTAGAGCTTTCTGAGCTGGAAAAAAAAATTGTAAAAGTTCTGGTTAACCAAAGTAAAGGAAGGAAGGGTATGTCATGTTTTATGCATTCACAAACTATCAGAAAATTAACTATTGTTTAATGGAAATGTGGTAAATTTCTCACAGAAAAGCTTTTCAGATTGAGTCTGACCTTAAGTGGTGCTTTAGAAGATTTTATTTCTCTCATTTTCTTTCTGGTGCACAGTGACTCATTTTGATGTCATTTACTGGGAAAAGAAAAAAGAAAGCATTTTTAACTCAAAGTTGTCAAATAAGAAATATTGATGAATTGTAATGACAATTTGTTATGAAAATGCGTCTTTCTAGAGTTGCATTTGATAGACTTCATAGCATATTGGGTAATTACTCTTTCATGTGACTGAAGAAGCCACAACATGTCAAACAGTTTTGAACTTTATTTTCTGAAATAAATTTTTATTCA